TTTCTGTTTCAGATGTCCCTGTCATTCATTGGATTCCATCCCGTTTTCCGGATGTATGGCATACAAGTTCTGACAATTTTGATGCAATCGATATGGTTACTGTGGAAGACATGAACACAATATTGCGTCTTTTTATACTAAGATACTACAATTTATAAGTAACGTGAGTGGTCTCATATCATAGTTTTGGGGTATTTTGGCAGCTATCTTTTTCTCTTTTACAAGTAGCTTCATGCTCTTATAATATGAGAATTATGCCTTTGAACTGATTTCAATTTATTATCTTTAGTTTTCTTTATTTGGTGTCTGATAGTCGGCCAAAGATTTTGTGGGAAGATTTAAGAAACTGTGATTGCACTTTGCTTATTTTGTTAGTATCCTTACTTTTATTGACTCTCCATAGGAAAGTTCTTTTGTTACATCACCAAGCACAGTATTAATCATTTGTTAAAGGAACTGTCAGCCAAAAACTTAATGTCATTTCTCATTTAATACACTGCAGGGAAGCTAAGTTTCTGTTCTCTGGGGGGGAGCAATCACTGTTAATGTCTTGCGGGTCTATTCATGAGAATAAACGTGCGTGGTACCGTCCAGCTTGAAACCTGACTGGGGAGAGTCCTCCTTTTTCTTACACTCCCCTCCAAAAATTGTGTTTATAAGAACCGGTTCCTCCATCTTCCTGTTTATTGGGAAGCGGAGTCTCAAGATTCGAGCGGGTGGCGTGTAGCATACGATTCTCGTCGAATCCACGTATGATATGTTAGAATTACGAGTAGACTGCGTCTCCTTCAGTTCTCTCACACGACTACATCTTGACGCTAGCTCTGTCCCTCCTCAACTTACTCTACTTTTACTTTCAGTCGGCGGCTGCCTCTAGGCCAATAAGCACGGGGGTCAAAGGTCTCCGCTTTTCCCTGGAGGTTGCCTAGTTTAATCCGGATCCGCACGGACGCTGCTGAACTTAAGTACGCTCGCTCTGGGAGGGCTTAAAACAGTTGCAACTGTGTTAATTCCTACATATTATGAACGAGGAAAGGCCAGGGTATTTTATTCTGTAAAAAAATAAAAATAATGGTAATTTTTTACGCTTTTTAAAGTCTGCAATATCCGAGGGGGAAATCACTTGCGAAATAGTTCGTACACCTTCCCCCGAAATAGCCCGAAATAAAGGCGAAATAGAGGCGAAATAGAGCAAAATAAAGACGAAATAGACGCGAAATAGTCGGTGAAATAGTCGCGAAATACCCCTGAAATACTCCGAAATAGCGCGAAATAGCCTGAAATAATCCGAAATAGGCGGAAAATAGCCGACATGGCAGGAGAAATAACCGAAATGGTAGGAGAAATACCACGAAATAGTCCGTACGCTACGAACCCTAGTGATTTCCCCCTCAGCAATATCTCCTCCAATTTAGAAAATAGCTCCACAGTGTCGTGGTTTTTACAGAATATTATTCCTATGCCTTTCCTTGTTCATAATATGTACAGGAGTTAACACAATTGCTACTATTTTAAGCCCTCCCAGAGCGAGCGTACGGATCCGCACGGATCCGCGTTAAACTGGACAACCTCCCAAGGTCTCGTCAGCTAATCTCATACTAATAATACCGAATGTGCATGTGAATACGCAGTGGTGTTACGGATTTGCCTACTCCTTACACCCGTAAGGTGGCCATGGCCCCTGCGGCCATATTGAGTATGCAATCCCGCAACACTGCTGCGTATTCCCAGTTACACCTGGTACATATGGGAGGTAGGGAGGGAGGTGTCCATGTCGTCTTCACCTTTCGCGACCTTCAATAATGACCCAGCACATCTAGCAGTGTCGCTCGGCCCCTTGTTTTCCCGCCGAAAACAGCTGGGGAAACAAAGGTTCGTCTGCATTGCGATGGTTCAACGGAATTGTGCGTTTTTTGACGTCAGAGCTCTTGTGCGCCCGCCCAAAGCTGCCGTCGCCACCGTTGTGGAACCGGTTCGTCGTCTCGCACTCGACGCGGTGGGATGCCCGGGGCAGGGTAGGCCAGCTCCACCCTGTGCACGCGGCCGTGCCTCGGCGCTGCCTGCCTGCCAGGCGCTCCGTGACGTAGGGCTCCCGCCAGGAACGCCAGGCTAGCCCGGCTCTCCTCATTGATGCGATTCGTGGACCCATGCCGCAATCCACCCCCTTGTTGGAGGCTGCTAGGAGAAAGGGGGGGGGGGAGTGGCATGGGGGCATGCAAACGGAAGTGGCCCTGGCAGCGTGTGGGATTGGCTTTGGTGCGGGTCGCGCGGGTCGCAGTGCGCTGGTCCTGTTTGCGCTTCGCCCTGATTGTTTGCGCGAGTCATACAACATGCCCAAAGGGCTTATCGCCTTCCGGACAAGGACAGCGCCACCGCCTGCGGGGCGCCGCGCAGCCGCAGCGCCCAGCAGCGCCCAGCAGCGCCCAGCAGCGCCTGGCAGCGCCCTCTGGCGAATGCCCCGTCTCTCTGCGTGGGTGGGCCGCGGGAGCGCCCGGAGCTGGAGACGAGGGGAGGGGTGGGGGCGGGGGTAGCGAGCGCCACATGGGGCGCTGCGCCCCGCCCCATGCCCCGACAACCCCTAGCCAGGCAGGCGAGCAGGTGCGGGCCGTGCGGGCCAGACTGCGGTCGCGACTTACTGTTACACCCCCGCCCCACCCCCTTCCTTCCACACCGACACACACGTGACTCTCTCTTTATTTATTACACGTTGCCTCCGACGGCGACGCGGCCTTCTCAACCCGAATCAACCACCGCCAAAGGGAAAACCAAACAACTGCCAAAGAGAATTCACGGCGAAGGGCGCCCGTATGTTTGCTCCGGGGCCGCGTGGGGCGTGGGTCTGCCTGGACCTTGGCCTGGACCTTGGCGTGGAGGCCCGGGCGCTAGGCTGGGTGCGCAGCGCATGTCCTTGGCTGGCGTCACGTCATGTGTCGCACTGAGAGTCGTGACAATGCCTGACACTTCCGATTTGTTTTTATCACTCTTCTTATAATTAGGACATGCAAACTGTTTGAGGATTTTCGGTGTCCGTATCTCGTAAACTGCCAGCGCTAGAAAAATGTTGTGCATATAACAACTTGCTTGTAATTTTCAACAGCCACGACCAATGTCAGGCGTCAGTTTTCCGCGACTATAGCCCTTATACGCATACGCCCCGTACGCCATCCGACGCGACGTTCCCCGCGCGGTGGTGACGTCATCGCCATCGCCGCCCCCGGGCGCGGCCCAGCCTCACGGCCCAGCCGCCCCCACACCATACGACTCGCAGGCGCGGCCCGCAACCCCGCCCCCACTGCGGGGGCAGCGGGGGCGGCCGGGGCGGAGCGGTTGGAGAGAAGTTTTGACACGTCCGGTCGGCATGAGAGGGAGATTCTGCCCAGTGTCAGTGTTTGCGCACCACCTTGTCGTTCTTTTGGGGCTCTCTGCCACTCGGTGGGAGAGAGAAGAAGGCGTGAATCTATGCGAAACCACCCTACAACCGAGGCGGAGAAGAGTGCAGCACTTTAAAAAAATGATTTGATGAAAGTGATTGCGCTCAGGGTGAATGGTGAATGAATCTAAAATCAACGGATCATCCAGAAAGTTGTACGTCCGCCATTCACTGTTACGAATCAGACTAAGCAAGCTGCTCATAGCGCCTGATGGGTAGGCATAATCTTGCATTCAGTGCACGCGTGTACTGCGGGGTGGCCTACCCCGAGTCTCGCAGGCGCTGAGCTCGAGCTCTAGTAATTTGCCGAATGTACCTGACAAAAAACCGAACGTATTTTCTGGGCGATCCCTTATGGCAGTTGAAAGGTTTTGGAAATTTTGTTGAACGGGACGGAATTTCACCCTAGACTCCCTCAAAAATTCCAGCGCGGAATGTAGAAACGTAAAAACGTGCGGTTAATCCAAATCTGTCCCTTAATCCACCAGGTTCTAGAGGCTTCTGCCCCAGACAGGTGATGCTAGGGTTGATTTTACTCACATTGCGGGCAGTCATTTTCATCAAATAGTTTCTTCGGGTTGTGTGCGCAGGCGAGGGTGGGGTGCGAAGGACTCCGTGAGGCCCTCCGAGCGCCGGCGGCGCCTATGCGAAGTGCGTTACCGGAGCCGCGAGTTAAATTATTGCGCGTCAAGGTCCGAGGGGTTGAGGGGGGGG